AAAAAAAATTAGCTGGGCGTGGTAACGCGCGCCTGTAGTTCCAGCTGCTTGGAAGGCTGAGGCGGAAAGATCGCCAGAGCCCAGCAGGTCGAGGCTGCGGTGGCTGGAAGCGGCCACTGCACTCCAGTCTGGGCGACAGAGTGAGACTCCAACTCAAAAAAAAAAAAAAAAAGATAAATTGTATAAAAATGACTTAAATTCCCACGAATCAACACATTTCCAAAATATAAAAAAAATTCATTAAATTCATCTAGCCTAAAATTTAACTTTAATCCATCAACCCTTAGTTATAACTTCCAATTTATAGAAAATATAGGGAAGAAACAGGTCAGATGATACAAGGAAGCAACCAGTTAAATCTAGCTGCAGGGACAGCTTGTAAGCCAAAACAGCATGTAAGCCAAGTCCATCATTTTTAAAAAGTAGGGAAAGGGTGAAACCTGAAAAAGAAAAATGGATATAACCAGATGCAATGATCCCTTAAAGATGGCAATTTGAACAAATCAATTTAAAAACTTGGGTCAGCTGAGGAAATTTTTATAATATAGTCTAGCCTAATAGAAGAGTAGAACTATAAACAAGTTTAGTAACACCATCAGAGACCCACTTTGGGATTATGTGGTTCCTATAAGATGCAGCAAAAGTTTCCAGCTTTTAATAAGAATGAGTTTATTATCTCAAGTTTGGAGGCTAACAAAGTAAGAGGTAAATGGAAATCATAAAACAATACTGATAAGTAAATACTGGTTTTTTAAAACAATGAAAATGCCAGGTGCAGTGGCTCACGCCTATAACCCTTGCACTTTGGGAGGCCAAGGTGAGAGGATTGTCTGAACCCACGAGTTCAAGATCAGCCTGGGCAACTAGGTGAGACCTCATCTCTACAATAAATCAAAAAATTAGCCAGGCGTGGTGATGGGTTCCTGTAGTTCCAGCTACTTGGAAGGTAGAGGTGGAAGGATCGCCTGGGCCTAGCAGGTTGAAGCCATGGTGGCCGTGAGCGTGCCACTATATTCCAGCCTGGGTGACAGAGTAAGACTCCACTCAAAAAAAAAAAGAAGAAAGAAAAAAGATATGTGTTTTCATATTATTATAAGGAAACAATTTATTCTCTATAACACCAAAGAACAAGGTCAGAAAGGTTGTAATACTTACTAGGTTTTATATCCATGTGAACCAAAGACATTGAATGAATATATCTCAAGCCCCGGCCAACTTGCAAAAGAAGATCCTTCAGCTCTGCTTCTTTAAAGTAACTCATGATTCTATAGTTTTCACTTATAGCATCAGCTAAACTTCCACCTAAAAAGACAGCAAATATTAGATTTTATTCTTTCTGAAATATTCTTAATTTTCTTCCATTTTTACTGAATTACCATAGTCTCAACCAAGAAAGTGACATTTTATAGGACTTCCTCCCTTCAACCTGCTTGTAAAATCACAACTTTACTCTTTCAATAGATAAAACATAAAATTTAAAGTCTCTCATCCATACAACACAGTGACTCAATTGTTTTTCTTTCCGAGAGTAACATAATATTATCAGTTTCTTTTTTTGTTTCTTTTAATTTATAAAAGACAGAGTCTAGCTATGTTGCCCAGGCTGGAGTGCAGTAGCTATTCACAGGTTCAATCCTACTACTAGTCAAGAAAGGAGTACTGACTTGCTCTGTTATCTTACCTGGGTCAGCTTACCCTTCCTTAGGCAACCTAGTGATCTCTCCCTTCCAGGTCACCATATTCACTCTGAACTTAGATCAGCATAGTGCACTATAGCCCAGAACTCCCAGACTCAAATGATCCTCCTGCCTCAGGCTCCCAAGAAGCTGGAATACAGGCACTGCCACGCTGCCGGGCTCACTTTTATACATTACTTTCAACTTCTATTTGTGCAAAATAATAGCTTATGTTCATTATCTTGAAGATCATTCTATACCAATATATGAACACTACTCATTTCCTTCTTGTCTGTATAGAATTCCATTGTATATTTGAATGGGAATGCATTCAATTTAAGTTTTATTTTTGGTGAGCATGAGCCATGCACCTGGCCAGTGACGCATTAATCAATCTCCCAATTTAAAAATTATTTCCTGGCTAGGTGTGGTGTCTCACACTGTAATCCCAGCACTTTGGGAGACTGAAGCAGGAATGCTTGAGCCCTGGGATTTGAGGCCTAGGCAACACAGTGAGACCTCACCTCTATAAAAGTTAAAAATAAAAAAATAGACTTGGTGGCCCCTGCCTATAGCACCTGCCGAGGTAAGAAGATCACCTGAGATCAGGAGTTCGAGGCTGTGATGAGCTGTGATCAGGCCACTGCACCCTCAGTCTGGATGACAGAGCGATACCCAAACTCAATAATAAATAAATAATAAAACAAAATAAAAATTATTTCCAAGTCTTTGCTATTATATACTATGATCCAATAATTAACCTTGTATATTGATAATTTTACACACAATTAGTGTATCTCCCAGAAGCAAAATTGCTGGGTTAAAGGGTATGCACATGCATACATATCGTTTTACACACACACACTGACCCACAGAGGCTATACTAATTTATATGCCCATTATCAATGTTTGGGATTACCTATACCCTTGACAACCGTCTATACATTTTATAGGTAAAAATCAAAATTCTAGTATAGTTTTAAACTAATCTGTTAACTTGTTTTATTTTAAAATACTTTTAAAGTTTATACTTTCTCAAAGGCAATAAGGAGTTGCTAAAAAAATCTGTATGATCGGGTGCAGTGACTCATGCCTATAATCCCAGCACTTTGGGAGGCCGAGGTGAGAGGATTGCCTGAGCCTATGGGTTCGAGACCAGCCCAGGCAACTTGGCGAGACCTCATCTCTATAATAAGTTAAAAAAAAAAAAAAGTAGCCACATGTGGTGGTGCATGCCTGTAGTTCCAGCTACTTGGAAGGCTGAGGCAGAAGGATTGCCTGAGCCCAGCAGGTCAAGGCTGTGGTAGCTGTGAGTGTGCCACTGCACTCCAGCCTGGGCAACAAACAGAGTGAGACTCTGACACACACACACAAAATCACTTGTTTAAAGCTTAGGAATAATAAAAACAGAGCTGGGTAATAAATAATCAATTATTTATTAGTCAGGAAAGAAGGTCCTATAATTTGAACAAGACTAAATAACAAAATGTCAAGTGTGTTTTTTTAAAGATAGGCTGGGTACAGTGGCTCACACTTGTAATCCCAGTACTTTGGGAGGCACAAGGATCACTTGAGTCCAAAAGTTCGAGACTAGCTTGGGCAACATAGTGAGATCTCAGCTCTACAAAAAATACAAAAATTAGCCAGGCATGGTAGTGTGTGCCTGTAGTCTCAGGCAGGAGGATTGCCTGGACCCAGGAGGTTGAGGCTGCAGAGAACTGGGAGTGTGCCAATTCACTGCAGACTGGGCAACATAGTGAGCCTCTGTTTCAAAACGAAAACAAGCAAACAAAAATCACACTTATGGGTATCTTAGTCTTGAGTATATTCTCCCTACTTAACTTGTAAATCTTGAGCTAGAGAAAAAAATGAAGGCTCTGGAAGGGAGCAAACCAATAAGCCTGTCAGACAAGGCAAGCTATGACCCAGATCAAACTTGGTAAGAAAACGTGGCTACTTCCCTTTTAATCAGGTCCAGCAACTATAGCTGTGCCTTTTCCTTCCATCTCATTGCTAGAAGGGCAAAAGAGGTGAGAAGACCAAAACAAGTTCTGACATTTCAGGTTCTCTTGTCCTGTCAATCAACATTTTTCTATACTTGTTTATACAGGTTAGACATTTTAATCTGTCACCAACCTAGGATAAAAAGCCTATAATGCAAATGACTGAGATAAGGGAACTCAACCACACTAATCAGTTAATCAAGAACAAAAAAAATAACAGAATCCTTTCCCTATAAAATTGCTGAAAAGATCTGAAGATCAGCCCTATTTAGTTTATCCAAAGCTTTATGTTGAAAGAGAAATGGTGGAGAAGGAAACAAAAGGAAGAGCTCACAAATGTATCTAGATAGCTTTATTTTCTTTTGTCTAAGAAGGACAAACAGGCACAGAAAAAGGCCTGTTTTGCACAGGTCTATTTTTGTTTATTTTTGAGTTGGAGTCTCAACTCTGTTGCCCAGGCTGGAGTGCAGTGGCACACTCACAGTCACCCTAGCATCAACCTGCTGGGCTCAGGTGATCCTTCCACCTCAGCCTTCCAAGTAGCCAGAACTACAGGCACAGGCTACCACACCTGGCTAATTTCTGATTTATTGTAGAGATGAGATCTCACCAAGATGCCCAGCCTGGCCTCAAACCCGTGGGGCTCAGGCAATCCACTTGCCTCAGCCTCCCAAAGTGCTGGGATTATAGGCTGAGCCACTGAGCCAGGCCTAGGTCTATTTTTTAAAGACCTATATATATATATTTTTTTTTTGCGCCCCTCCCTCCCAAAGACCTATATTAAGTGTTTTATATCACTCTAAAATAATAAATTATTTTCAAAAAAATATTGTATAACCTAACTTTATTACAGAGGAGGGTTCCTGTAATCTGAAAGGATAGGAAGACTATTCTTTCCCATCTCCCAGGCCCAAGAGTTCTCAAAATCATCTGATTTACACAACCATATATTTGGTAGGTTGTTACATATTTGTGATTCTTAGACTGCTACTGAACTAATAACAAAGAAACTAAAAGGAGATGGTATCTGCCTCCCAAAGTGGTGCAATTAAAGTACAGGCATGAGTCAGTATTTTTGTTTTGTTTTTTAAGTCAGAGGTCTCACTCTGTGGTCCAGGGTCGCAGTGGCATGATCACAGCTCAGTGCAGTCTCAACCTCCTGGGCTCAGGCGATCCTTCTGCCTTAGTCTCCTGAGCAGCTAGCTGGGACAATGGGGGCATGACACCATGTCTGGCTAATTTTTTGTAGAGACTGGGGTCTCGCTATGTTGCTTAGGCTGGCCTCAAACTCCTGGGCTCAAGCAATCCTCCCACCTCAGCCTCCCAAAGTACTAGGGTTACAAGTATGAGCCACTGCATCCAGCCTGTAAAAATATTGTGATGGCCAGGCTCAATGGCTCAGCTTGTAATCCTGTGCTTTGGGAGGCTGAAATGAGTGGATTGCCTGAGCCTGCGGGTTCTAAACCCACCGGGGCAACTTGGCGAGACCTCATCTCTACAATAAATCAAAAAATTAGCTGGGTGTGGTAGGCTGAGCAGAAGGATCACCAGAGCCCAGCAGGTCAAGGTTGCGGTGGTCGGGAGCTTGCCACTGCACTCCAGCCTGGGTGACAGAGTAGACTCTGACTCAAAAAAAAGAAAAAGAAAATATAAATGTGTCAAATTACAAAAGGATCAAGAAATACCTATTGTATGTAAAAATCTGGTGTATAATAACAACAGATGACTATAATGACCAGAATTCGGGCCAAGATTTTGGTAAAGGTTTAATGAAAAAAGTGGTACACAAGTGGTCCTTGAAGGGTTTGATAAAAATTGAAAGCCATACAGAAACAACTAAGGTTGAACCTATACATGCTTGTTTTGTTTTGTTTTGAGGGAGGGAGAAGAGGGAGAACAAGCTAGAAAACGAAAAGATCATAACTTGGCAGAACATGGTGGCTCATACCTATAATCCCAGAACTTTAGGAGGTCAAGACAGGAGGATCGCTTGAGGCCAGGAGTTTGAGACCAGTCTGGGCAACACAGTAAGACCCCATCTCAACAAAAAAAAATTAAAGACAGGCATGGTAGCTCAAGCCTGTAATCCCAGCACTTTGGGAGGCCAAGGCGAGAGGACTGCCCGAGACCAGGAGTTTGAGACCAGTCTGGGCAATTGGCGAGACCTTGTCTCTACAATGAATCAAAAAATAAGCTGGGCATGGTGGCACGTGCCTGTAGTTCCAGCTACTTGGAAGGCTGAAGTGGAAGCATCACCTGAGCCCAGCAGGTCATTGCTGCAGTGGCCGTGAGCGTGCCACTGCACTCTAGCCTGGGTGACAGAGTAAGACTCCAACTCAAAAAAAAGTTAGACGGGTGTTGTGGCATGTTCCTTTAGTCCTGGCTACTTGAGAGGCTAAGGTGGGAGGATCATCTGAGCCCAGGAGTTCAAGGTTACAGTGAGCTATGATCACACCACTGTACTCCAACCTGGGCAACAGAGTGAGACCCTGTTTTTAAAACAAAATAAAACAGCAAACATAATTAAGTAATCAACATCGGTATTAGCAGTACACAAAATCAAACAGAAAGAAAAGGCTAGATGCAGGTAGAATCCATTCAACATAACATTTAACTACTATATTCCCCACAGACTATGCTAGCTACTAAGGATACCAAAAATATATGGCAAGGCCACTGTCCTCTTAAGTAGTTCAGTTTGAGTGACAGACACAAAAATAATATGCAAAGTTGTACTACTGAGGTCTATACAAAGTGCTTCAGATGGGAGGTTTTTAATCTTTACTTATTTTAAATTTATGGTAGGCCTCTGATCTTTGAATTTATTAGTGATAAAAGAAACAAATAGATTAAGACTTTAGATAATAATAAATATTTCCTTGATGTTCATTTTCTCAAGCTCAGAAGTTTAAAAGAAAACCATTACAAGCCGGGCTCGGTGGCTCAGCCTGTAATCCTGTAACTTTGGGAGGCTGAGGTGAGTGGACTGCCTGAGCCCACGGGTTCGAGACCCGCCTGGGCAACTTGGCGAGACCTCATCTCTACAATAAATCAAAAATTAGCCGGGTGTGGTAGCACATGCCTGTAGTTCCAGCTACTTAGAAGGCTGAGGCAGAAGGATCACCGGAGCCCAGCAAGCCGAGGCTGCGGTGGCTGGGAGCGGCCAATGTACTCCAGTCTGTGCTACACAGTGAGACTCCAACTCAAAAAAAAAAAAAAAAAAAAAGAAAAAGAAAAAAGAAAACCATTACATACTCACCATTACAATATTCATTCTGTATAAGCATATGGTCATCTTCTGCCCAAGCAGAGAAGTATCGAACTACATGAGAATGCTGTCCAAGCACCGCATGAGCATATACTTCTCTCAAAGCATTCTGCCTAGGAGAGATATGAAATTGATAGAACAACAAATCATTTTTATTCAAGTCTAGGCTGAATTAATTTATCTGAAACTTCATATAGTAAACTTGACTTCTATATCTATTGTTATGCTAAAGAACAACTTGCTTAAGAGAGTTTAGCTGGTGTGGTGGCTCACCCCTACAATTCCAGCACTTTGTGAGGCCCGGGTAACAGGACTGCCTGAGCCCAGAGGTTCAAGATCAGCCTGGGCAACTCGGTTTACAATAAATCAAAAAAATAAGCTGGGCATGGTGGTATGCACCTGTAGTTCCAGCTACTTGGAAGGCCGAGGTAGAAGGATCACCTGAGCCCAGTAGGTTGAGGCTGCGGTGGCAGTGAGCATGCCACTAGGTTTCAGTTAAAGAAAATTTGTCAGCAAGAGGAGACCTAGCTGGTACTAGGACTTAGTAGATTAAAACCTATTTTTATGCAAATTCATGGATGCTGACTAGAAATAAGGAATTTAAGTTAGGTTCTAAAATGAGACGATTCATATATATTATTAACCAAGTCCAATAAGAACTGATGGCACAAAAAAGGACCTAATGATAACTTCTCAAAAGTTAGAGAATTAAGTTCAGTGTTAGATCACCTAAAACCTTAATGTTTATAACACCACAGAAGACAAAATATTCAATACATACTCATCAACAGAGCCGGCCAATGGCTTTTTTGATCGCTTAATGGCATAAATGCATCCATCCAGCCTCTTCACACACTTAAACACAGAACCAAATTCTCCAGAGCCAATTTTCTCTAGCTCATGAAATTCTGTTGTATAACGTGACTTCATATTGCTTTCAGTAATTGTAATTCTCTGTAATAAAAAGTACTACATAATACAAAAGTTATTTTTTGCCGGGCTCGGTGGCTTAGCCTGTAATCCCGCACCTTGGGAGGCTGAGGTGAGTGGAGTGCCTGAGCCCGAGGGTTCAAGACCCGCCTGGGCAACTTGGTGAGACCTCATCTCTACAATAAAAATAAAAATAAAAAAATAGCTGGGTGTGGTAGCGTGCACCTGTACTTCCAGCTACTTGGAAGGCTGAGGCGGAAGGATCGCCGGAGCCCAGCAGGTAGAGGTTGCGGAGGCCAGGAGTAGCCACTGCACTCTAGTCTGGGCGACAGAGTGAGACTCCAACTCCAAAAAAAAAAAGTTATTTTTTGCCATAGGACTATGAGCGAAACTTAAAAATCATTCTACCTTATGTTTTAATGCCTATTTGACATGTATATGTCATAATTTGTTAAAAGGTAGAAAACTAAATTTCAGAAATAACAAAAAAATTAAAAACCATTTACCTTAGCAGGTCTTGTTTCATCTTCAAGCTCATAATCACTGGCTTCCATGTCTTCACCACAGGAACTGAAAAAAATTATGTATTTTTCCATTAATACATCTGACAGATATATCGACTTAAGATCTAAAACTTTATCTGATACATATACAGCGAAATGGAATTTTAATGGATAAAAACAGAAAGCATCCAATTAACTTTATAATCACAAAATACAATCCAGTGGATAAAAATGTTGTTACCCACAGAGATAAGCTCACTAAACAGAGGCCCGTACCACCACACATACCAAAATTAAAGCCCTTCTAAATCAACTGTCTGCCTCATTTTGACACCAGCAGATGTCCTATATGATATCTAGGGTTTTTTATTCCTTCCTCTCTCATGCCTCTCTTTTCCCACTGATTACTTTCCACCTATCCCCTGAGAATTAGGAGCTAGTTTAAAAAAAAAAAAAAATTAGAACACAAGCATCCATGTCATTCAGTAGAAACTAAATTTTGATATATATACCAAACCAATCTTGGGTTGTTTAAGAACCAAGCTGTTGAATAAATGACTTACTCATTCCAATACGTTCTCTTTCTACGACGACACTGTCCCGAGGAATGAAGCAACACAGAATCCGGTGTAAAAGGATTAATATTCACTTGAGGAGTCTGTCGCACATCAAATTCCCTTTTTCCTGATTTTTCTGAATCCATGAATAGAGAACCACCCCGGAGTTTAACAGAGCTGGAATCAATTCCTCGAGCTTTGGAGAGCAAACTCTAGGAGAGGAAAAATAAAATGTTTGGGGTCCAAGTCCTACAGTTAGCCAGCCTTCTCAGCCTTCAACAAGCCTTTCATGTGACTGAATGGGTAGGTCAAAGCAACACACAGCCTTTGTTATAATAGTTCAAGCAAAATAAATTGTGGCTAATTTAGGAAGTCTGAAGCTGGATACTGATAACTAACTACCTTTCTGAAAAAAATAACCAAGCAAAATTTATTTCTTACCCTTAAAAGAATGTGAATCCTGGCTAAAACTAAGTCCATTCTAATGGCTAAAAGTTAACAAACCCTTACAACCCATCCAAAAATAGAAAGCAGAGCGCCCCATAAAAGCTCCCCTCCCCCATCTAAATAGGACTTTGAAAACCACCTCCGCTGGCTCCTCCCCCCACTTTCAGAGGGGTTTTGTCTCGGGCAAGTCGGCTCATAAACAGTACCGCTCACAAGCACATATTCCTTAAGTTTACGACAACGCTACATCTGAAAACAAAACAGACTCACTTTAAGGTACATTTTCCATGTCAATTTTACAAAGGCGATGCTTGTCTTAATTTCTGGAAGTGCTCGTTTGTAAATCTGCGGTTATAGCAGTGGGTAATCTGCATAGTACTCACTGGCCACTCAAAAACTCGGTGCGGAACACCTATTCTTTAAGATACCTTATCAACAGTGGGCTGTACCTAACCACACGTAGGCCGACCAAACCTTGGGCACGCACCCCCAAGGACAAAAACGCTCCCCCGAGCTCATGTCCGGAGAGAAAGAAGCACAAACGCTACCTTCTTTAGGAGCCTGTAAACGCTGGGAAGGCGGCCTTCACTCCCAAGTAGCAGCGCAGTCTCCCTCCACGCCTCAAACCTCCCCCCCATATCGCTGGACACCCAATGATAAGCGCAGGACATTTTTTTTTCTTTTAACCGAACTCCTTCTGTCTGCACCGCCCAAATTACAGGCCCAGTCGCCGAGTTTAAAAGGCACCATCTGGCTCGGGAGTGTCAGGTGGCCGGGCCAGCATCGCGCCAGCATCCTTGCAAAAGCCACGTTATCGGTGCCGCACGCCGGGCTGCCCGGCTCGGGCGGCCCCGACGCCCCCGACTGCAAACCACCGGCCACCTGGACCGGCCCGACCCAGCTCCTTTGTGAGACGAAGAAGTTCCTGACGAAGCCCCATTGTTCGGTTACATAATCTCAACGGACAACCTCTGGGCAGGGCCAGAAAGAGGGGCTGCCAACTTCTGGTGGCGG